AAACTCTATTGAAAGACGAATTTACGTTTTGTGGCATATTGTGGACTTGTGCCGTCCTGCTGAAACCATAAGTTTTCTTCTGGTTTTCGAGGGTTGCTTCTTACCTGACATAAATAAAATTTATTAGAGTAGGAAATGAAAAGTCTCCCAAAAATTTCAAATATCCGCTTACATTACCGTCAAAAACCTAAACCCAATAATATTAGTTTTGAAAAAACCCGCCCAGCCAGAGCATTGAGTTTTTGTAGGTACTGCTTGAGCTTTGTGGAATTCACATACGATTTTCCTAGTAGGCTGCCTGGGATGTACCTAACCTAATGACAACAAAAGATGATAAAATTGAAAATATAGATATAGAGTTCTCTTGTACAAAAACAAAAACCACCCGTAGTTGGATGAACACGAGAGCACTGAGCACTTCAAGACAAAATCAAATTTAATGCAGTCACGAGAGAAGTAAAAAAATATTCTTACAAAAACAAAAGACCTAAATGGTGCACTGACTGCACTGACGACGTATAAAAACACTGAAACGCTTCTAATCTATAGTTGGAATAGTTGGATTCGCATCGAAGACCAAGGTACCCGTTCGTCATGATTTGATTCTTGAAACGATTATTGATATACGATGCTATTATAAATGTACCTAATATTGGCCGATTCAAAAAAAAAATAGATCAAATTAGTATTATTTAGAAAACATATAGATACCTAACGTTTTGAGATTGTCCGGACTCAGTATCTTTCTTCTACATAGAAATTTGAATAAGTCTTGCTACAGAAGATAATCGTATGAAATAATCTCCAGTTACGACTAAACGTCTAACCGTAACCATCGTAGGTTTATCGGATACCCGATCGTAATGACTAAGTTAAATGCTTTTTCATAAAAATCCCAAATGGTTGATTGTCCATCAGTCAGATTTCATGGATTTCAACTAACCAAAAATCACTCTACCAAATCAACTTTCAGCTTTCTTTTTGAACATGACAAAATTTGAATAAAACAAATGTCTTACATACGCAGTATGTAAGTTATTAAAAGCCATGTAATTTAATCTGGGTAGAAAGCTAATTACGTTAGGAGTGGTGCAATCTTCATAATTCACGCTACTAACGACTTCAAACGTTTTTATGTTTGATTTATTTATATTAAAGCTAGTTTGCTTCTATTAACAATTACCAGCAGAGTTTAATTTTATTATTTGACACTAGACCTATAGGGAAAGATTTGTGACATTCTCAGTTTCCAAACATTGATCAATCTAGAACTGTCGTCGAACATAAATGAAATGATAATATAATCTAGACATTATATGCATCAGGGGGCGAAAGTTGAAGTATGTACACTTCGCCAATCATAAAACTGGTACGCATTTTCCTATTGTGCTGTATTGTGTAAATCGACCTTTTTTTATCACCTGAACAATGACGAAAAGAGTCAAGTCAGTGTCATATTTGAACCAATCATAACATAAAAACATATGTTACATTTGCTTTTGTTCAGTTTTGACGTTTTTCAGACGAGACTTTTTGTTGTTAAGCCTGACTCACACTAGGCAAATTTAAAAAAATATATATTGCCTGTACCAGTTTTATGTTTGGCCAAGTGTATATTCTAAAATTGAATGGAAAAAGTTGAAAAACGATATTAAGGCCGCAACAACTATGAGAATGCAGTTCTCTGATTGGTTGATTTTTCGAAAGTTGTTTTAAGGTCTTCAAAAAAACGGCACATCAGAATTGGCTCAAATTTGGCATAATCATTATTTGATCGATTATCTACAATTCCTTATTTTGGTTTTTCGATATTCAGCCTTTTTTTTTAATTCAAAAATCATGTTCGCAACCACCAAAACAACTAAATGTGTTGCTGGTTGCATATTTGCATGTTTATCAAGCTTGGATCCGTGAAAAGCATATTTTATTGATAACCACGAAAAACTAAAAAAAAAAAAAAATATTGTAGAGATTTTAGATAATATATCAAATAATGTATATGCCAAAGGATTTTGGAAATTATTGCGGATTTTTTGACATGACCTTAAAACGAATTTTGAAGGAAAAAACAGTTCAAGCAATTTCAAGAGATAAAGCCACGGCAAAAAAGCTACATTGGGAGCATCATAATTGTATATTTGTCTTTCCCTTTCCCTAAGTGTTTCACCGACAAACAGTTTGTGTTTTGGACAAAAAATAAAATATTGAACCGTATGTGTAGAGTGGCGCAGTCGTCATTTTCAAAAATAAATTTAAACATGGCGACCATTAACGCTGCCTTAAAATAAACATCTGTTTAATGATGTCAATACGAGATTCCGAGATTGTCATATTTTTTCACCGCAAATCTGCTACCCAAGAACACATTAAAAAAAAGAGTAATTAGTGGCACAAGAAATTGAGAGAAGAAATTGAGAAAATGACAACTTGAAATTCCGGAACCAAAATAACTTCTTCAAAGTCAAGATAAAACAGTCTGGAAGGAAATATGAACATGAATTGCTAGGCTCTTCTGATAAGCACTTTTATCCCTATATAAACAGATCTCTTGGTTCAAGACTTACACATTTCTCACAGTGCAGTTAGATCAATCGTTCAAGTCCTTGCTAGTTAACAAAAACCTCAGATTGTGCCATACAAAAACAATATCATATTGACATTGACAGAATGTAAGGTTTTTGTTAACTAACCAGGACTCAACAAGCGTTTGATCTAGCCGCACTTAAGGATGTAACCGCTAACTGCACCCTCAATGATGAGAAAGAAGTTGCTAATTTGTTTGCCAAACAGTTTCAGAGTGTTTTTACAAGAGCAAATCTAAGCCATATGCCCAACTTGGATCCTGATACATTCTGTGCTAATTCACTTGAAATTATTACTTTCACACCCGGGAAAGTGGAGAGTACACTAAAATCACTGAAGCCAAATACTAGTCCAGGAGAGGATAAAATCCCTGCCATTTTCCTGAACAAGTGTGCTGCAGTTCTATCACATCCCCTCTCATTCATGATGAATAACAAAACGATCTTCTTTAGGCAGGGCAAACTACCAAGGGAATGGAAGAATGCAATTGTAAGGCCTATTTATAAGAAAAGCAACAAACACCTGCCTGAAAACTATGGGCCCATTAAGAGGCACCATTTGCAAATGCGTCCTGGTATCTGAGATGACTGGATTTTTGCTCGGAAATGGAATCATCCCACCTTGCCAACACTGGTTACTTCCTGGAAGGTCCACTTTCACGAACCTGCTTACCAAGGTCCATGACGACGAAACGACAGTACTCCGAGTCAGGATAGAAGTCAAATTCTTGTGAAGTTTTTAGTGGTGTCCCCCAAGGCTCAGTCCTTTTCTCTCTAGTCTTCCTTGTATATATTAGTGACCTGCCAAATAGATTGAGGAGTCATATGTCGTCATTTGCGGATGATACCTGTTGTTATATTAATTCTGTAACGCAGAATGGAAACCTCCAGGGAAATATAGATGCCATCAAATAGTCGACAACCACCTGGCAAAGGCCACTGAATGACTCCAAGTGTTCAATTCACCACCTGGGCGAAAACAACCCCAGGATGCAATAATTCATTGGGGCTACCCAAATTAATCTGTGTTGCTGAACAAAATGATTTGGGAATTAATAGAAAGTGTTGTGGGTGTAGGGCAAAAAAATTCAAAGTCCCTTTTAAATTTTAAAAAAGGCCGACGTTTCGACTTTATTTAAAGTCTTTTTCAAGGCTATTTTTAATTATTTTTTTGAAAAAGGGGCTCTGGTCGAAGTGAGTGAAAGCACCAAGCACATAATATAAACTTTTTGAGCAGTTGAGCTGAACATGAAAACTTGTTTTGGGTACTCCACGTTACATATGCACGTCACAAAACACAAGTGGCAACTGTGCCTAGTTGCCACGAAACGTCGGCCATTTTTAAAATTTAAAAGGGACTTTGAATTTTTTCGCCCTAAAGCCACAACACTTCCTATTCATTCAACTGTTAAGGGCGCAAACCTTCTACAATGATTTGGGAATTGTTATCATTGAGGACATGAAGTGCATGGGAAAACCATATCAATATGGAATAATAAGTCAAACTCCATTATGTAGGTATCCGATTTCCAAGGCATTTGAAGATCCCACACCACAAATGTTTATAAAGCTATACAAGGCTTACATAAGACCCAGGCTGGAGTCAAAGCATACGGAAGTCTTTATTATGTCAAGGACATTGAAGCACTTGAAAAATCCAACGCAGAGCAACAAAAATTTTCCCCAGCACTTCGACCTCCCATACCAACAAAGGCTGCGAGGCTGAACCTCTCTAAAATAATTAGTGGTCCCAATTAACTGTGTTTGAGTTCAGTGACAGCCAGCATCTAAGGGGTCATGCCAATTAATATGTATAAATAGAAATTTTAACAGTGCTAGGATAATAACTGACTCAATACAATAGTCTCATCGGTTTATTTTTTCCTTTCACCATTGTTAACTGATAATCTAATAACTAATATTATATTTCATTCAAAATATCTGCTCCTCAATACACGTGGTTGTTATTTCAATTGGGGAATCACTCCAGAATCTACAGTATCAACGTAGGTAACCGAAAAAAAGTAAAGTATTATTTGGCAAAAATATTCATTTTCAGGGCAGGAAATTCTTAAACCAGATACCAGGGCTGAGCGATTATCAAAATAAATAATCGATTATTTTAAATAATCGATTATTTTCGATTAATCGATTACTTCCGATTGATCCAAATAATCGCTTAATCGAAAATAATCGATTATTTTCGATTAAACGATTATTTTCGATTAATCGCTTATTTTCGATGAATCGATTATTTTCGATTAATCGATTATTTTTGATTGGGCGATTATTTGATTAATCGATTATTTTTAATCAATCGATTATTTTAAAATATTCGGTTATTTCCGCTCAATCGACTGTTTTTGATTAAACGAGAAATCGATGAAAATATAATATCGAATGATCGAGAAAATTTATTTGAAAAATTAGTTTTTTTATAGCATTGCTACATTTTTGTACTTTTTGCAAATGTTCACAGGTTGTTGCCCACAGTACTACAGTAACCATTAATCAGCTTTTTTTTAAAATAAACTCTTTGGTTACTTTGCTACTTTATTATTTCAAAAAATAATCGATAATAATTGATTAATCGGAGAACATCAATCTATTAATCGAAATTAATCGATTAATCGAAAATAATCGATAATAGAAAATAATCGATAATAATCGATTAATCAAAAATAATCGATTAATCGAAAATAATCGACAATCGGAAATAATCGATTATCGATTTTTCAACAATAAAATAATCGACTCATCGATTAATCGATTAATTGATTATTATTCGATTAATCAATTATTTTGCCTACCCCTACCAGATACTCGATAATTTACAGTTGCTAAACAATAATTGTATCTATCTTAAAAATTAACACAAAATTTCAAAGCATTCTTTGTAACCTACTTTTCTAATCACATATTTTGAACCCTAAAATTCTACTTTAAGTGCGCTGGAAGCTGCTGCCTCCAAAACTCCTGCCGGGCATTCAAATACTCAACAGTTTCCTTAATACACTTCTCGATAGTGTTATCGTTCTCCTTAAATTTACACTTAATATTCGGATTTTGCATTAAATTATCCAAATAATCCTTATCGGCTGCCAATTCTCTCAATAAACGACTAGGTTTATTAGAGCTTTTAGACTTAGTTGGAACTGACGGAGTAGATCTTTGATTCGACGATGGAGTTACACCCCTCATACTCGGCTCTTTAGATTTTGAAGGTAAAAAGCTGCCAATAGCATTTTCGATAGCCTTCTGGCTCTTCTGCACTCCTAACTTGAAACCTTGATGGTCAGGTCGAATGTGAAGTCCTCTATGATAATACATCAAACTATGTTCAAAATCTCCTAAGTAATACAAAGCCTCGGCTTTTTGATAAATGGCCTTTATGAAGGTTTTATCCACGTGCAGGGCGGTTTCGGCGTCTTTTAGCGCATTTTCTGGCTGACCAAGCAGAATGTAGCACTTGCTTCTGGCTACCAGCGAATTCTTTTCCGTCGGATTAAGTTCCAGAGCCTGGAAAAAAGATAGAGGAATGTTTGAGGTTTTATTATTGGAGATATATGTTTAGGTTTTATATATAGGATGTTATAAAAAAAAATCTTAATTCTTGTAAGTATTTTTGTTATTTGCACCTTAGACATAAAATCAATAGCGATTTGTAGATCTCCTCTACACATTTCGTAGTTGCCCAATGCTAGGAAGTTTCCAGGCTCGGCTTCTTCTGGTATTTGTAGGAATGTCGACCTTTCTTGTTTTCTCTTGATTTTCAAGGACTGTTTTATGTCTTTCGATCCCATATTGACTGCTGCAGCTCTATCTTTATCACAATAGACTTCTTCATTTCTTATAGCGGTTTTCTTGCGCTTCCTTCTACCTGAAATTGTGATATTTCAGTAAACTTCTGTTCAGATATTTGTTTTATTAAATGGGGGAATCAAAACGACTTTACAAGACGATATTCAAGCGACAATACAAATTTGTGATAAAGGTAGATACATATAGGTATATGCTTTTCACTTATTATTGGCGTAGCATTATCCATGGAAATTTGGCAGGTTGACCCTCGTATAATAATGACAGTATATGTCAAATTCCAGACAGTTTTAAGTGTGGTTTATATAATTTCGTAAGTGCCGCGGCATTAAAATTTTCTGGCCTATCTGGCAAATCAAATTTGACACATTTTTCAATGCATTTTTCAATAATGCTATTTTATAAACGGTACCTAACTATTTTGCGTACCTGAAAAATCTAATGACATTTTTTAAAATTCGGCATTGTCAAATTTCTTTCGTATTGAAGATGCCGAAAATAATCTCAGAAGAAAAAAAAAGGGAAATATTAAAATGTCATGGTTATTTAAAGAAAAATAAACCAGAGGCTCTCCAGGGAACAATTGAAGCCCAACTTGCAGATATATTTGAGGTAGGTATAACTTAAATGTAGAGGTGAAGCCATTTCTTACCCAACCAACATTTTCCTTAAATTTTAGGTTTGAACCAGGACTATTCAAAGAATTTTGACTGGACAATATACAATCAAAAAACCTTTAGGCCGACCGAAAAAGACAGAGACTATTATGGACCCAATGTTTAAAGAAGATTTACAACGACAAATTTGAAAATACAATTCAATTTAATTGGAATGTAGGAATTTATATCTTTTATCTGTTCTAGTTATTTTCAAAATAATTACTTGGCGAAATATAATATTTTACCTTTAACTTGAAATAAACTATTTTTATTAAATGCACTATGTTTTTGCTCATGTCCAAAATCTCCCCTTTAAAGAAAACGCGTCACAGAATTGGTTCTCTAATACATCATTTAAGTAACCTACAGTTGTTATCTAACTGAAAATGTAGGCTTAAGTATATTTACACTTTCTCAAAAAATGGCCTTATGTAAAAATTGTCGAGATCTTACCCAGCCTCCCAGGCCTTACAACCCTTTCAAAAAGATAAGGTTTTGCTACAATCGATCCTGCAAGGAAAGATATTTGGATAGAGAGGACCAGGAAGAAGAAAAATATCGTGACGGAGAAATCTCAGAACATTGTTTGATAAAAACTCGCCACAACTCTTCCATGTTGCTGCGAATTAAGTGGACATCGCCATAATAATCGATGATCGCCGACATTCATAAGGGATAGGCACGTCCAGAAGAAGAAGAAATAAAAAAAAAAATAGAAGAAATGCCGTTGGACCAAACCCGAAAAAAAAGTTACTGCAAAATAGTTATTTACATTACAAGTGCGTTTATGAACATGATTACAATAACGAGTGTGAATGATTAGAACGACGAGGTCGTAGACCGAGTTGTTCTAATCACACGAGTTTTGTAGTCATGTTTAAACGCACGTGTGATGTACAACTTTTTATCTACAAAGCGAAAAATAAGAATTTTTTTCCAATCATTTTCGTTTATTAGTCGTTGTAGTATTCCTTCATTTTACCTTTACAGGTTTACCTTTGACATTTGTCAAATTACCAAAAATAGTTGTGTTATGAATTCATAACCTAGTCCATAACACAACTAGTTGTGTTATGAGCCTCATGACATAACTCAAATACTGGAAAAATTGTTATGTAAAAACGTCATAGCCAAACGCTTGTAGATAAACATATTTATGCTATTGAGCTTACTGTTATGGTTACGTTTAATTAATAAATTGAATAATTTTACTATTTGAATTTACTCAGATATTTTACACATTCTGGCAACTCGGCTTTCTGTTTCATAACCCTGAAATTTGAAAAATATCTTGTCATCAGATGCCATTATTATACGAGGGCAACCTGTCAAATTTCCATGGATAATGCTACGCCAATAATAAGTGAAAAGCATATATATACCTGACCTGCCTATAATTTTTTTTTCTACTACCGTGCGTAAAGTACCTACTCACTTCACGCACTATTCAGAAGACGTAAAATTTCACTTCACGCACTAGTGCGTAAAGTAATTCACTTCACACACTAGTGCGTAAAGTAATGTCAATGAGAGATGTCAACACTGTCAATTTAGCATTTTTCTGGTAAATCACTTCACGCACTAGTACGTAAAGTGAAAATTCTTTACGCACTAGTGCGTAAAATATTTGACTAAATTTATTTTTTTACACATATTTGATTGGTAGTAGAAAAAAATTTGTATGCAATACGTGCGTAAAGCACCTTAAAGATTCACTTTACACACTTGTTGCATAAATAACTATTTTCTACTACCATGCGTAAAGTACTCACTTTACGCACTATTCAGAAGATGTAAACTTTCACTTCACGAACTAGTGCGTAAAGTAATTCACTTCACACACTAGTGCGTAAAGTAATGTCAATGACACATGTCAACACTGTCAATTTGGCATTTTTCTGGTAAATTACTTCACGCACTAGTGCGTAAAGTGGAAATTCTTCACGCACTAGTGCGTAAAGTATTTATCCAAATTCATTTTTTTACACATATTTGATTGGTAGTAGAAAAAAAATTTTATGCAATACGTGCGTAAAGCACCTTTTTTCACTTTACACACTTGTTGCATAAATAACTATTTTGGAAAAAGTTTTAGGACGCCTCATTTTATGTTAACAAGTTTTAGTTTGCAAAATTTTACTTCGAAAACAACTTTCAAATTTATCTAGAACTCTCGAGGTCTTCATCCAATAATAGTGATGGTTCTATAAAGCGATTATTTGCCATGAGACTTTTTGAGATAGAAGCTTCCAATGTTTTTCCAATTCTCGTGCCAGATCAATCTCGAGATAAATATACCTACCAATAAATTTAAAATCTCATTCTTGCACTAGTGCTATAATATGAGACACGTGTACCGATCATTTAAAACAGTGTCAAATCAGAGTCGTTAAATTACATGGTACCTAGCTGTAGATAATAAATTAGGTATTTTTTATTTCACATAGGTAGATCGCTACCTAATATGGTCAAGTCAGTCAAATATCTTAAGCCGCTTGTTCTACTATCCAATAAAATTTCCTGAGGATTCAAATAAATTTTACGAAAAGTCGAATATTGTTATACATAAAAAAATATCTACTGGATATACACTATCGGACAAAAGTAGAGCAACTCTTATTATAAAATAAAATATTCATCTATCAAAAATACACTTGCTGATAACGGAAGCTAAAATGATCCCAGTTTAAAAGGTTGTAGTTGACTGCTGTCATAGGCGAAATTCAATTGTTTTCAAACGTCAAACAAAAATGTATGCAATAATTTATTTGAACAATTCACATTATTAGCGCGACAAAAGTAAAGCAACTTTTTTATTTTTTCCAAAAAGAAGGGATTTGAGTTTCAGGTAAGATGGAAAACATATTTATAGAGTTAAAAATTAAGATTATTCGTCTTTTTGACAGATTTGAATATGCCAAAAGGTAAACCAATTTGTCTGGAGTTAAAACAAATGGTAGTAGACGCTTTCTTGGAAGGCAGGCGTTTGGTTGACATTTCCAGGCAGTTTCTTTTGCCAAAATACAGTGTATCCAAAATAATTTCACGTTTCAATGAACGTGGACATGTAGAAAAAATGCCAAAATCAGGAAGGTTTAGAAAAATTACATTTTGGATGGATAGGAGAATCCAAAGAGTTTGCCAAAGAGATCCGTGGTTGTCAGGACCAAGAATAATTGCTGCAATTCCTGAACTAGAAGTGAGTGCGAGGACTGTCCAACGAAGATTAGTTGAAGCAAAGCTTTACAGCAGACGTCCAGCCAAGAAATCGCTGGTTTCTGAAAGAAATCGCCGTGCCAGGCTCGAATTTGCACAACGTCATCTAAATTGGACAGGTCAAGACTGGGAAAAAAATTTATTTAGCGACGAAACTCGTTATAAAATTTTCAATTCTGATGGAATGAGGCGTGTAAGACGTCCAACTAATACGAGGTTTCAACCAAAGTATGTTATACCAACCATAAAGCATGGAAGAGGAAGTGTGTTTCTATGGGGTTGCTTTTCATGGATTGGAGTAGGTCCATTGCACTTCATAGACGGGACGATGGATCGATTGGTATACAGGGACATACTCCAAAATGTAATGTTGCCTTATGCTGAGTGGGAAATGTCTTTGCGATTCGTATTTCAACAGGACAATGACCCCAAGCACACCTCTCGTCTTGTGCAGGGGTGGTTTCAGGAGAACAATGTCCGAGTTCTGCAGTGGCCAGCACAATCACCGGATCTCAACCCTATCGAGAACCTGTGGGAAGAAGTTGAACGTCAAATTCGTACCACAACATTTCCAAACAAACAGTTTTTAATTGATAAAATCAACGAGGTTTGGACTAATATGCCGATTGTCACTATCCGAAATTTAATTTCATCAATGCCGCGCCGTTGCCAAAAAGTCATAGCCAACAATGGATATCCTATCAACTATTAAGTTATTTTTTTTCATTATTGTCTATTTCAATGAGCTTTCAGCTATAGTTGTTGTTTTTGTGTTGTTAAATGCAATAAAATTTTGATTTCTTAAAAGTTGCTCTACTTTTGTCGCGCTAATAAAGTGTATTATTTATATAAATTATTGCACACAAGTTAATTTGACATTTGAAAATAATCATATTTAGCCTGTCACTGTAGCTTACTATGACCTTTTAAACTGAAAGGATTTCATTCATCGCTAATGCATATTTTATTTTTGAAAATTAAATATTGGATATTTTTAAAAGAGTTGCTTTACTTTTGTCCGATAGTGTATATAAGTTAAAGGTAATTAGTATCTTTAATAATTTTTACCTTTACGTTTAGTGACATCTTCGGTAATCTGTTTTGATAATTTTCGGCTAGTGTCGGCAGACAAAGGCATCTGTCTAACTCTATTAAGCTCGGCTTCGGCCGACGTTTCTCTTCCCAGACCCTCATCAGTACGTTTTTCAGCTGATTCATCATTTGAATCGTCAACGTTGATTCTCACGAAACTGTGGAGTAGCTCTTGTTCGCGCGTGATACTGAGACGTTTCTCTGCTTTGGATTTGGTATTTTCCATTTTTCAACTGAAATAGAGAATTGAGAATGATTTGGATTTGAACATCTAAAATTGGAGCTCAATTCAAATATTCCAAAATTATGAAGATTGCATATTGAGACCAATAATGTCTCAAGAAAATATAAGTTGGTAATTTAAATGTATCTATAAGGTCTGTTTATGAAACAATCACACAAACCATCACTAATTCATTACATTGGGTCAAAGCTGAAGCTCCATAAATTTTAAATTTATAAAAAAGGAAATATCAGTTTA